CCACCATACTGATTTCCAAAGTGGCTGTACAAGTTTGCACTCCCACCAGCAGTGGAGGAGTGTTCCCCTTTCTTCACATCCTCCCCAGCATAAACTGTCTTTGGTGTTTTTGATTTTAGCCATTTTGACAGGAGTAAGATGGTATCTCAGAGTTGTTTTGATTTGCATTTCCCTGATGGCTAAGAATTTTGAGCACTTTCTTAAGTGTCTTTCAGCCATTTTAAATTCCTCTATTGAGAATTCTCTATTTAGTTCTGTATCCCACTTTTTAATTGGATTATTTGGCGTTTTGGTGACTAGCTTCTTGAGTTCTTTGTATATTTTGGAAATCAGTCTTCTGTCAGATGTGGCGTTGGTGAAAATCTTTTCCTATTCTGTAGGCTGAGGTTTTGCCTTGTTGACTGTATCCTTTGCCTTACAGAAGCTTTTCAGTTTCAGGTGGTCCCATTTATTAATTGTTGATCTCAGTGTCTGTGCTACTGGTGTTTTGTTCAGGAAGGGTACATCCTACTTTCTCTTTTAAGAGGTTCAATGTGGCTGGGTTTATATTGAGGCCTTCGATCCATTTGGACTTAAGTTTTATGCATGGCGATAGATATGGATCTATCTGCAGTCTTCTACATGTCAGCACCCAGTTATGCTAGCACCGTTTGTTGGAGATGCTTTCTTTTTTCCATTGTATAATTTTAGCTTCTTTGTCAAAAATCAGGTGAGTGGGTTAATATCAGGTTTTTCAGTTTGATTCCATTGGTCCACCTGTTTATTTTTGTGCCAATACCAAGCTGTTTTCAGGACTATAGCTCTATAGTAGAGCTTGAAGTCAGGGATGGTGATGCCTCCGGAAGTTCCTTTATCGTACAGGGTTGTTTGACTATCCTGGGTCTTTTTATTTCCATATAAAGTTCTTTCAAGGTCCATGAAGAATTGTGCTGGGATTTTGATGGGCATTGCATTGAATCTATATATTGATTTTGGCAAGATTGCCATTTTTACTATGTTTATCCTACCTATCCAAGAGCATGGGAGAGCTTTCCATTTTCTGGTATCTTCTTTAATTTCTTTCTTTGAAGATACAAAGTTCTTGCCATACAGGTCTTTCACTTGTTTGGTTAGCATCGCCCCAAGATAATTTATGTTGCTTGTGGCTGTTGTAAAGAGTGATGTTTCTCTGATTTCTTTCTCAGCCCCTTTGTCATCTATACATAATAGGGCTACTGATTTTTTTTTTTGAGTTAATCTTGTATACTGCAACTTTGCTGACGGTGTTTATCAGCTGTAGTCCCTGGTAAAGTTTTTCGGGTCACTTATGTAAACTATCATATCATCTGCATATAGTGAAAGTTTGACTTCTTCCTTTCCAGTTTGTATCTTCTTGATCTCTGTTTGTTGTCCTGTTGTTCTAGCTAGAATTTCAAGTACAATATTGAAGAACTATGGAGAGAGTGGGCAGCCTTGTTTTGTTCCAGATTTTAGAGGAATCACATTGAGTTTCTCTCTGTTTAGATTGATTTTGGCTGTTGGTTTTCTGTATATTGCTTTTATTATGTTTAGGTATGTTCCTGTTATCCCTGATTTCTCAAAGACCTTTATCATGAAGGGGTGTTGGATTTTCTCAAAGGCTTTTTCAGCATCTAGTGAGATGATCATGTGGTTTTTCTTTTTCAGTTTATATGGTGGATCACATTGATAAATTTTCGTATGTTAAACCATCCTTGCATCCCTGGTTTGAAGCCTACTTGGTCATGGTGGATGATTTCTCTGATGTGTTTTTGGATTCGATTTGCAAGTATTTTATTGAGTATTTTTGCATCAATGTTCATCAGTGATATTGGTCTGTAGTTCTCTTTCTTAGTTGTGTCTTTGCGTGTCTTGGGTACCATGGTAATTGTAGCCTCGTAAAAAGAGTTTGGCAATGACCCTTCTGCTTCTGTTATGTGGAACATTTTAAGGGGTATTGGCATTAACTGTTCTTTGAATTTCTGGTAGAATTCTGCACTGAAACTATCTGGCCCTGAGCTATTTTTGGTTGTGAGACTTTTGATGGTCTATTTAAATTGCTTATCTGTTCTTGATTTAATTTTGGTAAGTGATGTCTAACCAAATTGTCTATTTCCATTAAATTTTCCAATTTTGTGGAGTACAGGTTTTAAAAGTATAACCTGAAGATTCTTTGGATTTCTTCAGTGTTCGTTTTATGTCTCCCTTTTTATTTTTGATTTTGTTAATTTGTATGTTCTCTCTCTTACTTTTGGTTAGTTTAGGTAAAGGTTTGTCTATCTTGTTGATTTTCTCAAAAAACCAACTCTTTGTTACATTGATTCTTTGTATTGCTTTCCTGGTTTCTACTTTATTGATTTCGATCCTCAAATTGATTATTTCCTAGCATTTACTCCTCTTGGGGTGAGTTTGCTTCTTTTTGTTCTAGAGTTTTCAGTTGTGCTGTAAATTCTCTAGTGTGATTATTCTCCAGTTTCTTCATGTGAGCACTTAGTGCTATAAACTTTACCATATTTGCTGAGTAAGTGGTCGATTTTAGAGAAGGTTCCATGTGGTGCTGAGAAGAAGGTATATTCTTTTGTGTTTGGATAGAATGTTCAATAAATCTCTGTTAAACCCAATTGGGTAATGACTTCTGTTAGTTCCTTTGCTTCTTTGTTAAGTTTTTGTCTGGTGGACCTGTCTAGTATTGAGAGTGGGATGTTGAAATCTCCCACTGTAAGTGTGTGAGGTTTTATGTACGATTTCAGTTTTAGTAATGTTTCTTTTATGAATGTGGGTGCCTTTGTATCTGGGGCATAGATGTTCAGAACTGAGACTTCATCTTGATGGATATCTCTTGTGACGAATAAGAAATGACCTTCTTCATCTCTTTTGATTGATTTTAGTTTAAAGTCTTATTTGTTAGATATTAGGGTAGTTACACATGGTTGTTTCTTGGGTCCATTTGATTGGAAAGTCTTTTCCCAACCCTTAACTCTGAGGTAATGTCTGTCTTTGAATTTGAGGTGTGTTTTCTTGTATGCTGCAGAAGGATGGATTCTTTTAGTCTGTGTCTTTTTGTAGACGAGTTAAGACCATTAATATTGAGGGATATTAATGACCATTGATTGTTAATTCTTGTTTGTTTTAGATTTGTTGTTGTTGTTGGTATTGTGTGTAGATTCACCCCCACCCCCCCCATTTCTTTTGGTTGTTGGTAAAGTGGGATTATCTATTGCCTATGTTTTTGTGGGTGTAGTTGACTTCCTTGGGTTGGAGTTTTCCTTCCAGAACTTTCTGTAGGGCTGGATTAGTGGATATGAATGTTTAAATCTGGTTTTGACATGGGATATCTTGGTTTATCCATATATAGTGATTGAAAGCTTTGCTGTGTATAGTGGTCTGGTTTGGCATCTGTGATCTCTTAGTGTTGGTAGAATATCTATCCAGGACCTTCTGGCCTTCAGAGTTTCCATGGAGAAGTCAGGTGTAATTCTGATAGATTTGCCTTTGTATGTTACTTGGCCCTTTTCCTTTGCTGCTCTTAATATTCTTTCTTTATTATGTATGTTTTGTGTTTTGATTATTATGTGGCAAGGGGATTTTTTTGTGGTTCTGTAAGCTACTTGTACTTTCATTAGCATGTCTTTCTTCAGGTTGGGAAAGTGTTCTTCTATGGTTTTGTTGAATATATTTTCTACACCTTTGAGTTGGGTTTCTTCACCTTCTTCTTTACCTATTATTCTTAGGTTTGGCCTTTTTACAGTGTCCCATATTTCATGGATACTTTGTGTCGAGATTTGTTGGACTTAAGATTTTCTTTGGCCAATGAATCTATTTCTCCTAGTGTATCTTCAATGTCTGAAATTCTCTCTTCCATCTTTTGTATTCAGTTGGTTATGTTTGCATCTGTAGATCCTGATCATTTGCCAAGTTTCCTATTTCCAGCATTCCCTCAGATGGTTTTTTTTTATTTTTGTCTCTATTTCAGCTTTCAAGCCATGTTTTGTTTGAATTATTTCTTGAAAATTTTGGTGTGTCTTTTCCTCCATTTCTTGAAATTTTTTTTTTCGTTTTTTTCTTCCATTTCCTTAAGGAATTTTCTCATTACCTCTTTGTTGTCTATCATTGTCATAAAGTTGTTTTTAGGGTCACTCTCTTCTGCTTCATCTGTGTTGGGATATTCCAGCCTTGCTGGTATAGAGTCTCTAGACACTGTGGGGTGTCATATTGATCTTTCTGTTGTTGACTGTGTTCTTGTACTGTCCTCTACCCATCCCTTATTCCAATATGCTGGTAAGGTCTCCCCCCTCTACTGGTGGGTACAGGACAATGGTTCTCTTCAGGTGGGTGCAAGTAGGTCCAATATGCCAATGGCTCTCCTCTTCCAGTGGGCAGTGGTGGGAATCCTCCTGCGGGTGGAGGTGGGACCAGGATGCTGGTAGACTCCAGATAGGCCTGTCCACCAGGGCAGGCTCCCCCAAACACAATCTTCATGATGCTCCGAGCAGGACACTGGAAGGTGGGCTCTAGAACTCTAGAAATTTAATGTGCACTTTTATTCCATAATTTCTGAGTTTGAAGACATTTTCCATTAAAATTATAAGCTAAATAGTTAATATTCAATTATTAGCATCTCTGCATAGAAGCCTGGAGTTGGAAAAGGAAATTGAAACAATTATTTGGAGATAAGGTATTACTGTACCTGTTGGGTGGTGGTGGCACACACCTTTGATCCCAGCATTCAGGAGGCAGAGGCAAAGGCAGAGGCAGGAGGCCTGGACTACAGAGCTAGTTCCAGGACAAGCTCCAAAGCTACACAGAGAAAAAACCCTGTCTCGGGGGAGGGGGGCAGATGTTACTGTTCCCAGGCCCTTTGCTTTGTCTTTGTGACTGGACCTTGGAGAAGATCCAGGGAAGGAAATGGACTTTTCTTCCTGTTGTAATTGATGAGACTTTCATTTCTCTTGTCTATTGATGGAAAACATGCCTCTTGAATCATTGCAGTCTCTCCTCTACAGAACTCTTAAGCTTGCTGGCAGAATAGAAGCAAATTAAACTGAATGCTCATCAGCGCTCAGCTCAGAACAAACGACGACATGGAGCTTTGAAGGTGGAAGTAGCATGGTGTCGGCCATGGGTCATCAGGACACAGCCAGACAATGTGGACCACTTTCTTCAAACTACGAGTCTTCTGCTGTCTGTTTGCAGTGCTGATGGTGGTGGTGTTGGTCATCAATATCACTCAGGTGGAGGTGAGTGCTCAGATCTGGGGGTTTGGGCTTCAGTAGCCTGAGGTCATCAGGCAGCTTAGGCCAGCTGCATCTTTCCATCACTGTGGTATGCATTTGAGCATCTTAGCATCCATCTGCTGTGCCGGTCACCAAGGATGCAGGAGTGGCCTCTCTTGTGGTGCTCACATCTGAGCATATGTGGGAAAATACACAGAATAGTTATTGGAAATGCTTAGACTTGATAGAATGTGTTGTACTCTGGAGCTTTTTGTTTTGTTTACAAACAAGGGAGGTTCATTTAGCTCATGAATATCAGTAATTTCTGGATTTGGGAGATTTATTTGAGACAGAGTCTCACTATGTAGCCATGACTGACCTCAAGCTCAGAGATGTCATTCCCTTTGGTTTTTTGAGTCAGGGTTTCTCTGTGTTATAGCTCTGGCTGTCCTAGAACTCACTCTGTAGATCAGGCTGACCTTAAACTCACCAAGATCCACTGGTCTCTGCCTCTTGACTCCGGCCTCTTGGTGCTGGCTGGGACTAAAGGCGTGCACACCCCCACAGTCCTGTTGCCTCTGTCTCTTGAGTGCTGAATTTAAAGCATTCACTAGCACTCTGGACTTGGATTTGGGAGTTTTACATAGACTTCACTGACAAATATTTGTAATTCGAAAATCTTGAAGTCAGGTAGGTATATGCCCAAACCTGAACACTCAAAAATTTAAGTTTGGACTTTGGAGTAGTTCAGATTTTGGTGTTTTGGATTAAAAATGTTACCTACTGTATTAGGTTTTATTGTTATTCCTTAGGTGTCTGTTTGTTTCCCATGGAGAGACGGAAATGTTGTGGTTCTGGATGAGAGGGGAGGTGGGGAGTAATCTGGGAGGAGTAGGAGGAGGGGAAACTGTAATCAGAATATATTGTACACAAAATTGCAAACAGCTTTTTAAACCTCTTTTCAGTAAAAGAAAAAAAATAATGTTACCTACAACCATAGGTAATAATCATAATTGGATAATGTAGTAATCATGACTGGTATTGCTTGTGAAAGGAAGTGGGAGGTCTCCCTTCCCCCACTTAGTCTCAGCCGCAGGCTGGCTTCCAGCTAGGTAGAGGCAGAGCACACCTGGTCATCTTGACTCCATTAACTCTGGCTTTTGCATCCCGTACAGTGAAGCCATGGCTTCTAAGGCCTGGCCTACTGGGGACTACTGTAACTAGCCTTGCAGCTGCCCTTGCGGTGGCGTGTGGCGTTGGTAGGGGCATCAGGGCAAAAGCCAAATCACCAGCTCTTCTTTCCCCCCCCCCCCCCCGGGAGCAAGGAGAATGGCTACTTTATGGCTGCTTTAGAGTAAGGAAGGTAGGGCTTCCCGAAGGAGGGGACCATGGAGCCTGGCCACAGGCTGAAGGACAGTTGTACAGGAGGAATTGATGTGTCTCTTTTGAGTACTGCTGTATGGCTGAAGGGCTGGGAACATGGCTCCCTGAGCCCCTCACAAGTGCTTGAGAGATAGTAGCCTGACTCTCTCTGCTGGACCCATATATGACCAAACTGAGTGAGTGGTTTCTATAGGAAAGATGGTAGCCCTTTTATTTTGTTGCGTGTGGTGACTTTTAGGATGCATTAGCTAAAACAAGGCATTTCTTCGCTTATTCGGGTTAGCAGAAGAATTTCTAGAGGCTAAGCCATAGGCCTTTTCATTTCCCCTGCTGGAAATTGTTCTCTGTTGTGTAGCAGAATGAGAACTTTCACGGTAAAATGGACACAGAGTCCTCCATGGTTTTTGCAAGCCATTGGGAACTTTGAAGAGCACAAAGTGATCCTGTTCAAGATTAACATCTTGAAGATTAAATATAACATCTAGGAATTAATCTCTTTTATTTGCTTACACGGTTCTCATGTTTTGCTGTAGGCAAGGCAGAGTCGGTACCATATTGACAATTCCTTCCACCTGAGAGCTGTGCTATAAATATACATCTAAGTATTGTGACAACATAACACAGCTCACAATACCTTTTGATTATTTTAAATACATCCGTGTGTGTGTGTGTGTGTGTGTGTGTGTGTGTGTGTTTATGTTGAGTGTGAATGCTGCTTGCCACAGCATGCATATTGATGCTAGAGAACAATATTGGATATTGGTCCTCGCCTTCCACTTTGTTTGAGACAGGGTCTTTTTGTTGTCCTTCACTGGGGACACCAGTCTAACTGGCATGTGATCTTCTCAGCGGTCTCTTGTCCCCACCTCCCACCCCACTGCAGGAGTGCTGAAATGGCAGACACCTGCTATTGCATCTGGCTTTGCACCGGTTCTGGGGATTCAAACTTAGATTCTCAACATTGGGTGGCAAGAGCCATCTCCCCAGCCCCAGGCCATCGAAGTGGCATTTCAGTGGCATTGAGCACATTCACTTTGTGCAGCTACCCTACTGCCTGTCTCTGGATCTGTTAAACAACGATCCATTCCTTCCTCTCCCTCAGCTTCTGACATCTAATTATCAATTTTCTGTCTGTGAATTTCATGAGTCTAGATGTTGCACTCAATAGGATCATATGATATCTTGTGACTGGCATATTTCCGATAGTGTAACGTTCTCAAGATTCATCTATGTTGTAGCATGAATCACAAGTTCTGTTCCTGGGTAGGGTCTCATTCTATAGTCCAAACTGTAATGACACTCGCTATACAGCCAACACAGCTTCAAGGTCTTGGCAATACTTATGCCTCAGGCTCTCAAATGCTGGATTACATCTGTGAACCACCATGCACCATTAACTTTTGATTCTTACTTGGGATGTTTAGACTCTTTATTTGCTGAGAGGATTGTGGTTATAGCATTCTGTTGTCCATCTTATTCTCTTCCCCCTTTCTGTCTTGTTTCACATTGAGAAATTCTTTTAATCCATTTTATCTCTTTTTGGGGGGATTCTTATCAATGAGTCTGTTATTTTAGTAATTCTTTTGGTACTTACAGTATATATATCTAGTATCACACTCTGTGGTCAAATGGTATTCCACTTCATGTAGGAGAGCACCTTGCCACACAGATATTCATTCCTCCTCTGTGATTTTTGTGCTGTTAACATATATTTTACCTCAGCATGTTACACCCCACCCCCATTGTTTAAAAATTGTTTTGACATTGTCTTTAAGAATAATAAAAACCTGGTATCATATATTTAGCACATGACTTTGCTTTTTAAATTTTTAAAATATTTTTTAACTTAAGTTTGAAACACAAGCTTGTTTTACATGTCAATCCCAGTTCCTACACCCTCCCCTCCTCCCCTGTCCCCCCGACCAACCTCCATCCCATCCCCTTTCTGCTCCCCAGGGAGGGTGAGGCCTTCCATGGGGAGTCTTGCTTGTGCGTCTGTATTTCAGTCTTCATAATAGTTTCTTTCTTTCTTTTTTTTTTTTTTGAACTGTCCTTGGCATTTCTTGTGGTGCAGGTTTGTTGGTGATAAATGTGTTCACTTTGGGTAGATTTGAAAAAAAAAATACCCCATCCAGCCTTTAAAAACCTTTACTGCAGCTCTGGCTTTAACATAGTTTTAGGATTATAGAACAATTACACTGAAAGTGGAGTTCTCTTATTTCCCTTCCTCAATCCAGATTCCTATTACTAGAATATGACAGAGTGATTCTTTTTATTTTCTATTTTTATCTCCCCCAAGCAGTTTCTCATCCATGCCTGCTCCACAACATCAGCTTCATGACTCTATTTTGCTTCATTGCATAGTTTATTTAACATCCAATTGATGAATTCTATTTCCAAGGACAGTGTAGCAGTCAGGGTTCTCTAGAGGAGTGGTAGACTGATGTATGTATGTATGTAATGTATACACACGCACACAGGCACACAGTCCCCATTAGTTCACCAGCATGGTGTGTATTCTTCCTACTCTATGGGAAAGGAGGCTCACTTGGCTCACAAGGAGGTGGAGGAGAAGCGAGGTGCATGTTTTTCTGACTGGGAATCCTGTACTCTTTATTGTGGATGCCATTCCCTTTATCAGAACTGGGGCACGTGACCGTCATGAGATGCAGGCTGCCTCGCTGCTCAGATGTCAAAGCCGAAACTCAGTGGTTTGGAAAGTTCTTGTTAATCTGGTCTTGTACCTCCACATTTCCATATCCTGGGATTTATAGTTCCTTTCATTACATGTTTTTAATTTTTTTCATTTGAAAAATGAAAAGTTCTTTGGTTTCTGTTGCCCCATCTTTGGTAACATCTGCTCTTCATTCAGACTGAGCTTAAATGCCACTGTCTTGTGACTCTTAAATTCTATTTTATGTGATCCCGTTGGTACTTTGTGGTACCAAGAAGATTCTCACCTTATCCTCAGAGTGTCCGGGTGACAGAGTCAGCATAATTTGCAATTGGGAGGTGGTGGAAACATTTGAAGGTGGGGCCTAATCGGAGGTATTGGGTCATGGGGGGAAAGCCAACGAGATGCCTATTTTGCTAACTGCACTGCTTCGAGGTGAGTAGCCTTGCTGTCCCATGCTCTGTCTGCCATGCTCCTCTGCTTTCCTAAAGGCCCAGATGGAAACCTCTCGAAGTGTGAGTTATTTTCTCAGACGTTAGTCACACTGACAGGAAGCTGACACACGTCTGTGTGCTCCCACGTCACCACACATGACGTAAACTGTGTTGCCCCAGCCATCTGTAAGATGCTCAGGACTTCACTCCTAATTTGTAAACCCAGGACCTGAGTAGTCTGGCCTCTTGAAATAGGCAGGTACACTTCAGGTTGCTGGAGCCTCAGCCACTTATGCAGGTTTTATCAACAACCTGGTTCACTCCTGCATGATTTCCTACTTAACCATTAGGGTGTAGGGTCTGTACTAAAAGCTACAGATGTATATCAGGAAGAGAGTCTCCCAGCAGCGAATTGCCCAATAATAGCCTTGATATTGGCTTTATGTTGCTGGGGGAAAGGAATTAGCTGTGCTCCCCCCAGATCACCTCACGTCAGGTGATCTTTGCGTGTATGAGGAGCCAAAGTGAGCTAA